TAGATTAGGTACTTGGAAAATTATTAACTCCAACAGGTCACAAGGGTATCACTGTAAAGCAATTCACCTAATGTTTACTGAACTTCAAACAGTCTGTGCACAGCTCTGCGGGGTTAAATGTCCCATTACCAGCTAATTCACCTGTTCCTATCTCCTGAGAATTCCGTTTATGCTAATAATCATTATCATAATTACATTTTAATTACAATTCACAAGTTTTTAAAACCACGTATTTCTAAGAAACTCATTTAGGGCCATTCCAATAATAAGCTTTATCATTTTATCACTCCTAATAATTAAAAACACTTGTCTGTAAAAGGCAAGCAGAACTCACAGAAATACAATTGAGTTGAATTTTAGCAGTATGCTTTCTGCCTACAAATTAAAGGATAAATTATTAAACCAGAATCCACAGACCCCCAAGAATATTTGAATGTATATTTTTCTGATGAGATAGCACAACACTTTGAGGAGATGCTCAGAGAAGTTCACGATCTTTAATAAGGAATTTCTGCATTAGGAAATATACGTTAAGATTTTCTAACCAGAATACTTCAAAATAATAAGCTATAATGATAACAATTCCCTAAATTCAAGGATTTCTCATGAATTATCATGCCAACATTTCTGGAAAAAATTTCATGTAAGACAAGAATGATCTAAACTAGGTATTTCAAAATAATCTTAAAATTGTCAAATAGTTAACATTTAAACACACACACACAATTGCACACAAAAGATGATGGCACAAACCCACAAACATTCTAATAAGAATGAATCCATTAATACATGTGGTATTAAGATATTTAGAAGGCTTTTTAACAGAATATCCAAAAAAATTCACCATGAACAGTGATACATTCACAAAGTAGGTGTCATAATTTCTACTATAGCAATTGGCTTTGTTCAAGTTCTGATGTAACAACTACACTATGCCAGCTACATGCTGTAGGGGTCTAAAAGATAAAGATAGAGATATATAGATTTGGATATAACTTATTCTATGAAGCCAAAGTTAGATTTTCTAACTGCATGCTTTATCCATGTGATATCCCTCACCTTACCCCTAAATGTTCTCTCTCTATTGCCACCTAATGTTTAAGTTCTACTTTCGTTCTAAAATAATGTCAGTTCCCACTTAAGAGTCTCTACCACCAATTTTGGCAAATGATCGTGTTGCTACATTCTGTTTCACATATGTACACAGTCTCTTCAATTATATTATCCCTGACCTATAGTAGCTTAGTAGAGCTCATTTCTCATGCCTCAAACAGCATATAATGCTCAAGTCTCAAAATGTATTTACATGAACAAATTTTCACCACAGTTGGATTAACATGTTTATTATTATAATTATCATACTGCATGGTAATAACTGGCAAAAAAAAAAAAAAGTTTAGGGACTTGCTTCAATATAAAGAGGGAAGTGGGTGGAGGTATGGATGAAGCAAGACTGACCACAAATTGATAAATGTTAAAGTTGGCGATGTGTATATTATTGCTAGCAATTTTCCATAATACAAAGTTTACAGAAGTTTGTCCCTCCTACTAGTAAGAGGGCTTCATAAGACAAGTTTAAGAGTTTTCTTCTTTGTACATCTATCCAATACAGAGCAGACAAATTGAACTTTACTAAATACATTTTATTCTTTAGGTAGAACTACTTTTCAATGAAACTTCACCTTTTTGACAGTATTTTATTTAAATAATTTCTCATTAGCTCAGATAAAATATATGTTTATTCATTCATTATTTTCTGGGTCCCTACTTCCTAAGATATGCTGTCCTGGTAAATGTAGACACCAAAAATAATTTATCCTCTAATAAATTAAGAAGGGAAAGAAGGAAGATGAAGAGAAAAGAAAATATTGTAAAATGCAGTAATACAGTTTTTAAGAAAGGCATCTAGGGCATCTATGTTTTTAATTAGAAAGAAGGCATATAACCTGTTCAAGGCAGACAGGCTTAAAATTTCTCCTTCCCCTCCATTTTACAGATGAGGAAACTAAAGCCCATAGAGGGGAAGTGATTTGCCTGAAGGTACACATCAAGTTGCTAACAAAACCAAAACTAAAGCTCATATCTGCTGATACACAGTTCAATTTGAATTTTCTACATCATAACACTTTTCTCTCCAATGTAATGTTAACACAAGAGAATGAATTATTTTATTAGTATATATTTTAATTCTTTATTAAATCATAATTTTAAAAAGAATAGGATAGGTAAGATGGGGAAACCTGCGGGAAAAAAGTGCACAACAAATTGGTAAAACACTTATGCATGAAAACTACATGCATATATGCCAGGCTTCACCAATTTTGAGACACATTTGACTTTAAGACATAGTATCCATTCCACAAACATTTTAAAGCAAATATAGACACTAATATATATCATCAAAAAATTCTAAAATATAAAAACATAATCACAAAAGTAAGAAAATATATTCTATAAGATACCAAAAAAATCACTGTCATTAATTTAAAGGCAGTGTTACAGAGCACAAACACTCAGAGCACGAGTCTCACCTTCTAAGGTAACAAATAATTACTAAATACCTAAGGCTTGTGGCATTTTTTTTCAATTGAAAGTATAAATCAGTCCTCCTTGCTATTAGTTTCAGAAGGAGGAGTTTTGGAGTTACACAAAGAAAGGTTTGAATCCCAGCTCTGTCACTTAGCTCTCCAACCTTGGAAAGTTACTAAGTTCTCCTGAGTTTCATTCTCCTCATCTGTAATATGGTATTCACACTTTAGACAATTACATGAGAATCAAACGTGATAATTTATTGAAGGATTATGGCACAGTGCCTAGATGAAATAGGAATCACATTAATATCATTTCCTCTCAGAATCCCTATGGGCTAAGTGAAATTAAACTAAAAGCTAGATTAATTTACGCAACTCTTTCCTCTCTGTTTAGGAGACTGTAGTAAGTCTGTACTGATCCTAGGGCAAATCCTACTAGTTTGGGAATCATTCTTTGAATAAGGAAAGCTTATTTTCTTGAAATCTGTCTCCACTCTCAAATTGGGAACCGAAAACAAAGATGAGCTTATAAGTGTTTAAGTTGATCAGCTATACCTAAATCCAGTACTTTCATTTTGTCTTACTGAACTGAAACTCTAAGCCCATTACAAACCCATTGAAGAGGAACTACAGAACCAATGTGTAGGAAGAAGGATATAAGGCCAAAAGAAACAGTTAAAATGACTCAATTCTATCAGTGGTTTGTTGGGTTTTTTTAAACTTTAAATTCATGTATTAAACCCTAAGAAAACAAATGTTCAGGAAAGCCAAGACTGTATCTCCATCATTCAGGGTATGTTAGTAACTGGATCCCTGAGATTAAGCAAATGCCATCTTTCAGTACATAGTTTCAGCTTCCATCAGTGACAATCCAATCATTTCCATGATGAGAACACACCTACCAAGGTGGCTCTTATGGAATAGACACTGAAATAAGACTATCTTCCCTCCTACTCCAAGCTCAGGCCAGCCCACCTACATTTTCCTGAGTAGTAGCTCATTTCAGTTGAATGCCTGTCCCTACTAATTATAAAAATAATGCTCACTTTATTTTGAGACAGGGTCTTACTTTGTCACTTAGGCTGGAGTGGAGTGGCATGATCAAGGCTTGGCCTCAACCTCCTAGGCTTCTACCTCAGCCCCCACAAATAACTGGAATTACAGGTGCACATGCCACCTTGCCCAATTAGTATTTTTTTATTGGTAGAGAAGGGGTTTTGCCATGTTGCCCAGGCTGCTCTTGACCTCCTGAGCTTAAGCAATCTGCCTGCCTCAGCCTCACTCACTTTTTAAAATTTGAAAAAAAAATACTAAAAAGTGCAAGCATTTTAAAGCATTCATGATCTTTCCAGCCAAAGATTAAAACATTACAAGGGGCCATACCATCATCTTTCCTATGAATCTAACCATAACTATGAAAATATTTAAATTTGTATAGAGTACCTGCCACCAAACACAATTAACTACCAGCCCAAATATTAATATCCTCATTCCAGCTTTCTTGTGACTAAATTCACATTAATTTTTTACTTACTTAAATCAATGGTTTCTTCTCAATCATTCTGAGTCTCTCAGCTATGTATTCTGCTGCTGATCACTTCCTCTTTAAAACTCTATCCTAGGTTTCTCTAAATTGTGTATTCCTCAGTATCTACAGAAATCTCTCCAACGAATCTTTTTTCTTTCTTCACTAATTCTTTTTATATAAACTGACAATCTCTAGGAAATAGATGAGGTCTGACTTGAATTTCCTTGTCCATGTTGAATACCCAGCATTTAGTACAGTGCCTGGCATCGAGGAGATGCTCAATTAACATTTACTAACTGATTCTGCCAATCCTGACCTGCTTCTTCCTAACCGTGTGACCTTGGGCAAGTTATATCTCTGAGTCTTATCTCCCTCATCTATAAAATACAGATAATCAGAAGATGAGATAATATTTGGAAAGCTCAAAACTGTCTGTCACAAAGTAGCAACCAATAAATTTTGCTACTATTATCAATATACTCAATATACTCTAGTACAGCACTCAAAAATGTTTCCAATTATTATATATGGTTGACTGTTAAAACCACTTCCCAATAACCTAACTTACTCTCACTTCAGTCTCCTATAACTGTCAAAGAATATTTTTATGCTTTCTCTTGTTACCTATCTCCAATCTATCATCAGCTGTTTTCTCTCCTAATCAACATAAGAAATTATTTACCACTAAGCTGCAACATAGGCTTAGTTGATTTCCAAACCCCTAAATCTTCATTCCAATCTTCAATTATACTTAAAAAACATTTTTAATTTGTCACTCTTGTCCATAGTTGCTAATACCATGTACAAACTACTGGAATGTCATCCTCATATCTTCTAATAACCCACATCCCAACTTACAGTTCATTGCTGCCATTGTGGCGTGCTCGGCGCTGTTTTGGTGGGGCCTAGGGGCCCTCCATCCATTGCTGGCTCAAACTCACCTCTTTCAGGAAACCTTCCCTGATTCACTCCACACCACTTAGATTAATTCTCTGCTCCAAGTCGCCTCAGCACTTAGGTATTCTGTTATACTAAGGGCAAATGTGATCAAGTAAATAGCATCACCAAGAAATCACTTTCACAAAATTGTTTCTAGATCATAAATAATGGTCCATTAGTTACAATGCTCTGCTGATCTGGTTAACAAGGAAACATGTTACACAGCAAATGCTCTCTTTGGCTTCTGTCCTTGACTCTATAAGTTCACAATCCGTTTGTCCTATCCTCAAACATAAACTCCCATTTAAATACACTGGAAATATGGTAGTGGGCCACCTTCTTTTCTACCTCTTCTATGACCTCAGTCTCTGCCTCCAGCCTCTATCCACACCCTACAAATAAAAATTCCAAAAGCTTCAAATAGAATAGCAATTATATATACAATGTCTTTTCCGAGTGGGAAAAAAAAAAAACCTGAATCTACTTAGCTATAAAATTATTTACAAGGGTGATAAATTTCCCAACAGGCCTAATACATAATCAAATTGCACAAAATTTATGTGGAATTTTTACAAATAAATTTATGGAATAATTGGGCTGGCACAGTAACTCACGCCTGTAATCCCAGCACTTTGGGAGGCCAAGGCAGATGGATCACTTCAAGTCAGGAGTTCGAGACCAGCCTGGCCAACACGGTGAAACCCTGTCTCTACTAAAAATACAAAACTTAGCCGGGTGCGGGGCACGTGCCTGTAGTCCCTGCTACTTGAGAGGCGGAGGCAGGAGGATTGCTTTAACTTGGGAGGTGGAGGTTGCAGTGAGCCAAGGTCACTGCACTCCAGCCTGGGCAACAGAGTGAGGCTGTGTCTCACACACACAAAAAAATTCATGAATAATTTTATGGAAAATGTATAGAATAATAGGGCCTGGGCAGGGTGGCTCAGCCCTGTAATCTCAAGCCTTTAAGCGGCCACGGTGGGAAGATCTCTTGGGCTCAGGAGTTTGAGGCTGCAGTGAGCTATGATCTCGCCCCTGCACTCCAGCCTGGGCGACAGAGCAAACCCTGTCTCTGTTTATTTTTTTAATTAATTTGAAAAAAAGACAACAAGATTGTACTTACACATTAATTCTCACTTGTGTTACTGTAAGAGATTTTGCATCATTTTCATGCTATATTACACATGCCCAACATTACAAGTGAGAAACTCCCTTGGAGGGCAGATTTTCTGAAAGTATCTTCTGATGTTGTCTTTAACCAACACATTCTTTAAAAAAAAAAAAATATATATATATATATATATATATATAAAGAATTAAGGGATTCCTGACTGCCATACAGTCAAAAGCAAACAATACACAATACATATGCCATTCCTTCGGAGGGAGTGAATTTTTGTGCGTTTGAGGCAAAACAATGAGATGAACTGTCACAGGGATGGCAGGAGGGATGGTGTGCAGGAAGAGGATCAACCTCAGTAGTGAGAATTAAAAACACTTGAGTGTTTGGCCCTCGACTAGCAATAAGTTAACCTGCAAACCTGACCAAGACACTACCTGAGACCCTCCACTCTCCGACACACTGCAGAATCAGACAATGGTTCTTGCTCAACTACTCATTAAAGATTTACAGCCTTCACCTACACACATACATAAATCTACCGCGTTTGCTGCTTGTGTACTTTGTCCTACGAGACCAACTAACGCCTTCTGGCCCCACAGTCTCCTGTCCGCACTTCACCTAAAACCTTCTTTCAGGCACCTTTCGGTTTCAGTAGGTGCCTCTTACTCCAGATCCACGTGTCCCCAGTTCTCCAGAGACCTTCACCTTCAAACCCCAAGCCTGACCCCACTTCACTTCCAGTTGATCTCCCCCAAACCCTATCAATGCCTTACTTCTAAGAGGCCAACCACACTCACCCGACCCGCGCCTTCTCCCTGAGCACACTTTTCTGAGCATCACCTATTTCCCATCACTTTCTTCCTCCCCAGACTTGGAATTCTGCAATCACAGGCCTCCCTTTACCGCCACCCTCCCGCGAGTGCGCGAGCCCGCTGCTCGGTTAACCACCCCGCCCAACCTTCACCACCTCTATGCGGCCTCCCACCCCAGCCAGCGCCCCCGGGTTCCGCGGCTGAAAACCAGGCCCGACCGTACGTCTCTCTTGCGGTCCCGGCCAGGTGGAGGGCGATGGCAGGGCCAAGTTGCGCCGAGACTACCCGGGCCGAGGCGGGCGCCCTCACTTCTGGGCGTACCCTGGCTGGGGGCGGGGGCTGGACAGTGGGTTGTCGCCCCCGCCTCTGCCCGGCCTGCAGCCCGGGCTCCTGCAGCCGCTGCCCGAGCCAAGCGAGGAGGGACCCGCAGCCCGGCCGCTCCTCCCGGCGCACCCGCCTCTTACCTAGACGCAGAGGCTCAGGCCTCGCTCTCCCGCCTGGCCGTCCAGCGATGGCTGCGCCGCCGCCGCCGTTGCGCTCTCCTCACTTGCTTTTCCACCGCCCCCAACCGGCTGCTGAAGAGCGGACGGGCAGTGGCACGCCCATTGGCTGAGGCCCGCACTCGCGTCAGCTGGCCCCGACCGCAACTCGTGATGTGACTGGTTGGCGCGGCGCCTCTTTTCCACATCCGCTTCTGATTGGTTCTCGCGCGCACCCTTACTCCAAGGACCACTCAGCATCCTCACTGCTTTGGCCTCCCACCCCCCAACCCGGTTTCCCTCGGGGCGGGAGTGGGGCGGGAGCGGACACCAGCGGGACGAGGACGGCCAATGGGGGCGCCGAGAGAGGGCCGGGAGGTGGGCCCCGCGGCCAGCCGGCTCGCGGGGGAATGCTCAGCCAATGGGCCCGCGCCCCACATCCCGAGTACTGGAGCGCCCCTGCCGGCTGCTGGTATCCCATCGGGTCGCGCCTAGGGCCACGCCCTGCTGTCCGTCGCGCAGGAGGGGCGCCCACTCCCAAGGTGGGGAGCACGCGGCGAGGCCCACGCGGTAGACAGCCGGGCTGCCATTGTGGCGTGCTCGGCGCTGTTTTGGTGGGGCCTGGGGGCCCTCCAGCCATTGCTGGGAGTGTGAGGGATCCGTTCGGAGAACTACCAGCCTGGCGGGTCTGGCCCAAGTCGGTGAGACCAGAGAACTCTGTGGACCCCTGGAGCCTCCACGGGGAGCTCAGTAGGGAGGGAACCGAGCCTGGGTCTCGTCCAGCCCCAAGGGACTGTGGGCCGATTCATTCCACCTTCCACTTCCTCCAAAATAATTCCCTGCAGAACTCACCGATAGTGACAGGAGTTAGAATAACGTTTACTTCTGAGGGGTGGGGGCATATTCGGCGGGAAAGGGCACGAGGGAACCTTTGGGAGGCTGGAACCGTTGCGTTTTGATCTTGGTGGTCGTGCCGAGCTGTATACATATGGAAATATTAATCGAGCCGGACACTTAATAGTATTACTGCACTCTTCGCACTTTATGTACATACAGCTCGGTTTTTAAAATAATAAGAGGATCATGAGAATTCTGTAATAATATTACTGTAACCTTTAAGCTCCTTGGGACTCCATGGTATAAACAGCATGAGGATTTAGCTGTCATTCAAAACATGCAAGCTATAGGAAGAAAAAAAAAGGGTTTGTGAGAAGCAGAGATGAGTGAACACTCTTGGCAAGGTGAATAGTATACACAGGTTGGGTGCTTAGGGATGGGCCAGGATAATTCAGAGTGATTTTTCTGTGGGGATTTAGAGCTTGTTTCAGTGCCTGGCCCTGTTAGAAGCCAAAAGCAGTCACAGTGCTGCATCCAGTTGGAAACTACAAAAGTTCACTGAGCTGCCTACTTTGTGGCAGATGTTAATTCTGGCTCAAGAAACTAATTTGAATGCCATGGCTTCTGCCTCGATGAGCTCACAGTCTTGCACCAAGTACTGTCATTGCTGGCAGAGGGCACAGAACACAAAGCGAACACACTTGCTTACCCTAAGGGATGTCACATCCCCCTGCTTTAGGCAAGGCAAAGTATGCCTGTAACCCATCCAGTCCAACAGCGAAATTCGTAAGGAGCCAGGATCAGGTGAAACACTTCTTAGAAGTGGGTCAAAATATTCTCCCAAACAACTTAATGATTAAAATAATAAATGTGAATAACGTAATCTTTGTTTGATTACGGTATTCATATTTATTATTTTAATCATTAAGTTGTTTAATTCAGGTAAATGCCTTTATTTAAAGTGATTGTATTGGGCATATAAACTTGGATATGACAGTATTTTTCACAGAACATAGGGTGTAATGGAGAGACAGACATAAACAATGCCAGTGTAATACAGGATGAGGGAACACCTAGAAAGAGGATGTAACCCAGCATGGGGGATTCAGGAGCATCTTAGAACATGTGTAGCTAAGTTAACCACTGCTAAGGTTTATCAGTATACTGATAGGATAATATCACTGCAGGAAATAGGTACTGCTTCCAGAAAATAATTTTCTTCATAAACTTTTTGTTGTTTGTGCGTATGTTTTAATTAAAAAAAAATGAGGTAAGTACAAAAGCAAAGTAGTACTTAGTTCTGAGGAAAACATGATGTAATTATTTAAGTAATCACTTAATAAATGATTCTCAAAAGTAGCCATACACTTGAGAGCATAAAGGGATCTCATTTGATTCAAGTCAGCGTGTATGAAATGCGTGCCTCCAGCTGACTCCCACAAATGGACAGAGTGCTTTCTGGAGGAAGACTTAGAAAAACAATGGATCACTCTTCAAGATGGTACAATTGCACTATCCAAGATGGTACAAAGTCGTTGTATGACTCAAATCTTCCATAATATACTGTAATTCTTAAATGAATTCAGAGAATTAATAAATCTACAAAAAGTAATTAATAGTCTTCACAAAAGGGAGTGGGAAGTTTTGCACCAGAGTTTAAACTAGAAAAATGTAATAATATCAATCATTCATTCATCTGTCTTTCCCATCTTTATTCAGCAAGATCCCTGAAAATTGAGCTGCCATATATTGGTATCAACTGCATTCTAATTTTACAGGTGTGAGCCACCACACTCCCCCAGAATCTTATATACACATCCCTCATGGAATTCACCAAATTAACCATTCTTTTCAACATGCTTTACTTTACAGATTGCATGACAATAGAAAGTATAAACTATTTAAAAGTAACTATAGCACATTAAAACTGTTTTGATAAAACTGAAGGGCATACAATTTTCTTTGTAGTTGCTGTGGAAAACCCAACATAGCTGTCTAGAATGCACCAGAGATATTCACTCTCAGCATAGAAAGAGTTACAGGCAACTTTTCTCAAGTGAACTAAATTTTATGTGAGCAGTATTTTCTGTAGTTGATTTTATGATATCTGCCTTGCTCTGTACCTAATCATGACTTCCAGAATAGATCTGCTTTAAAAATATTTTTAAAGCCTGTTAGTAAAAACGCAAACTAAAAATCCTATCAAGGTTTTAGCATTTCCATTAGTACATCGATTGTCTGTCTAGGCAAGTACAAACAGGTTCCTGTGGCTTCATTTCCTCCATATCTGTTCTGTGTGTTTCAGAGATCTGTGAAATAAGTTTGATTTTCATCTGGAGGGGAATGCTCTGACCCTCAGATATTCTACAAGTTTAATCTAAGTGGATCAAAAATGAAGCTGCTGTGTCCTTGGATCTTCTAAATTATTCTTTGTGTCCTGACTATTGCCCCTCTGGTTCTCAGCTGTCTCCTTTAGACGTTGTTTATTGATAAAAGTGCTCTGGCATTACTGAACTCCCAGGTCTTGGAAAGAAGAGGCACAGTATTTGTACCATGTTTTAGATACCATCTGTTGTCAATTTCCCAAGCATCACTGTGAAAAGAAAGCATTTGGTGGCCAATTTATTTGCACATCTCATTAGATGGTCATTGTTCTGCCTGCCTTTTGTGGGTAGCATTGCCATGGTTTGGAGCCCATTTGGGAGCAAATAGTAATTGAATAGAATCCCGGAAATTATTCTCCTTTTTCATGTCTTTTTTTCTTTTTCTTTCTTAGGGATTTACTCCCTTTGCACATGAGTCAGAACACAGCTGCCACAGATGCCCAAAAATGAGAATCACTAACTCGACATCTTTTTTCTAAGGTCATAGCATGTCCAAGGTATAAGCCCCAGACTCTGACTTGCCCTGTTTTTTGGGTAGTGCTTCTTGAGAATAGTACCTAAAGTCTCTAAAGTCAGTATCAGCACACTCTTCGGCTTCTAAGGTAAGGCCTCCACCTGGATATATGCAAACAAAGGGCCTAAACTGGGAGAACTTCAGGTAGCCAACCACACCTATGTGTAAAAAAACTTGTCAGTATCTACAAAGGTATGACTCTAAGGTAATAAAACATTTGACTCATTTGCTAATCTCCAGTTATCCAAAGTGGAGAACAGTACACGAATTACAGTTTCTCCAAAAACAAGGCCATTGAATTATTCTGCTATGGTCATTTCTTAGAACAGCCAATTATAGGTCTTTTCCAGTGAAATCAGTAATGGTTGCTTGAGAAGAATAGGGCATAGTAATTAAGAGTTCTGACTCTAATACTAAAATTCTGAGTGTAGAATCCCATCACTACCACATACCACTTATGTGACCTTGGGCAATTTATTTAACTACTGTGCCTCAGTCTCCCAAAGCTAAAATGGAAATGACAACAGTAGTATCTACACACAGCGGTTCTATGAAGCTGACTATTTTAAAGCACTTAAAACAGATTTTGGCAAATGGTAACCCCTATCTTAAAGTATATGCGTTGCTTAATGTTGGGGATATGTTCTGAGAAATGCGTAGTTAGGCACTTCCATTGTGGGAACATCATAGAATGTACTTACGCCACTGGAAAATTGAATTCTTTCCCTACTTGGTATTGGTGGCAGAGAAGAAATGTCCAGTTGAACAGGCAATCAGGTTTTATCACTAGCCAGAGAATGGAGAAGGGGAATTCTTGCTTTAACAGCACCTTCTCCGTGAGTGATGGGAGGCACAAGATTTTAAAGGACTGGGTGCAGGGTAGGAGAGGTATGTTGGCATGTACAAGGCAGAGCTCCAAATGTGCTTCTTCATATATCACATATACATAAAATGGCAGTGATTTTCTTTTAGGGGAAGGAATTGTAGCATTATGATGATATGTTAAGGACCTAAAGGTAACTGGAGGTCACCTGTTCTGGTTTCCATTAATTTCACTTTTTTTTTTTGAGACAGGATCTCACCCTGACGCCCAGGCTGGAGTGCAGTGACATGATCATAGCCCACTGCAGCCTTGACCTTCCTGTCTCAAGCAGTCCTCCAATCTCAGCTTCCCAAGAAGCTACAGGTGTGTGCCACTATGCCTGGCTAATGTTTTTATATTTTGTAAAAGTGGGGTCTTACTATGTTGCCCAGGCTGATCTCGAACTGCTGGGCTCAAGCAATCCACCCACCTTGGCATCCCAAAATGCTAAGATTACATGTATGAACCACTTTTCCAAACCTCGTGGGAGTCTTAACTTTCTCTGGTATTTCATA